GCATATTTTGTCCTCATAGATCCTAGGTATATGTTGTTACTCAGCTCGGAATTTCCTTTCAATGTTTCACCTGCTGGGATGATCTTATCCTCATATTTCTCCTTCCTCTTCTAATCGTAAGTATCTCTTATTTTTCCCTATGTTATAGCTTCTGATTTCTGTTGGAAATCACTTGCAAATGGAGGCTTATCTATTAAATTCGGCGTACGAACTACTCTGCAGTGACTTTCATGGGATTTATGATGATCACAGTAGAAATGATGAATGTATATTTATTATTAATTAGGCTACTTCCTTAGATGTTAAGGGAATTTTATTGTTAAAACTGTACTCAACGAAACATGGAAAGAAAAAATTAATATCTTCTATTATACTCACGTCATCGTGACCACGGCGCGCTGTTAGGGCATAGGATGTATATGTCACTGCTCACGGTACGGAACAGCTCAATTTTACAATTTATCTCCTTTTTTTGGTAATGATTCCATGAGTCGGACAAGAATATTTTATATGTTTTGTACGCCAATCATCAGTAAAATTCATTACGTAATTCCTATTTCTATAAATTTATCATTTCTTATGCTTCATATTTCTAGCGTTTTTAAATTATTATGTACAAATAAAAATAAATCACTTCAAAATGTAAGAATTAAACAAACAGAAAAATAACAAATGAATTAATTTTCTAAATCTTATATGATAACGTGAATTATTCACCGTTAAAATCTCCCCTTTATAATTTCAGCAGATATTCATAATTCCGTATCAATTAATTTCTTACTAGAGTATGAATAAGTGTACTCTTCCGCTGTTCATTTTTAATATAATTGAAAAGGAAATGTATAATATTAGACTACTTTGTCGGAATAATATGATTAAGAATAAAGATAAATAATTTTATTCCTCTCATCAGGAATAAAGAATTGTTTTATGATGAACACAGGCGTGTAATAGTGCGCGTGTATACAGAAGTCTACATAATTATTTGTTGTAGCGCGTCCAGATGATCCACATAAAGATCTCATTGCCCTCAGTGAAAGATGGACGCGTCTCATTTGTTCTTAATAAATATCTTGTATCCCTAAAATGCAACATCTTTCTGTTTTCTTTGTTCTTAATAATAATTGCATATATAATTTCTGACACATTTTAGCTAGATGGTGTACTCTATTATTATAAAAGGAGTATAAGGAGAAGCGCGCCTTCTTGTAGACGGCAAATAAATACTAAAGAAATGCTATCTCACTCTACAGCACATGGGGAAAATTCTGCGCTACCCCTCCTTATTTAGTCCTATATCAGCATAATTTTGTACAGGTGACGGTGCAGAGAATATCGCAATTATTTCGTCCCAGTAAAATTTTGGAAACAAGATGATTTTAATTTTTCCAGTAGTACACTTCTCACCGCGTGACACATGCATACAGTGAATTTCATGTAATTAATAATTCAGGTATATAGAAAAAAAATTAATCACGAACACGTTGTTGTACGGAGGTATATGAAAATAAACCTGAAGAATTTATTTCCCATGACGAAATAATTTCATATATGGAATAATGATATAGCGAAAATTTATGCATTGTACGAAAACACACTTCCTATGATAAGAAAGGCATCTGCACTCTTATCTTACATGGATGTGATTGAAATTATGCAATGATCCAATATCGCAATACTAAAACATGCGCTTGGGTATTTATCATTTATTTAATTCCTATAAAAAAGCACCTATGATAAGAAGGCAATTCTTTGAGAAAACGATGAAGAATAAGTGTTATATCTTCTATGGTATAACATTGTTCGACCGCTGTTTCTGAAATAGCCTCACCTTTTCTGCCCTCAATTTAGTTATTCTATTACACTCTAGAATGGGCAATTAAATATCCTCCTAAATAACAGTCTATGAAATGAATTGGAGTGGTCTGTTAAGATTTCCTCATATGACAAAGCTATTCTTTCCTCTTTGGTTAAGAGGAAACTAGATGTACACTTCTCAACTTATGAGTTTCATTTTCCAGAATCATCAACAGGTAACCATCTTTCCAATCGTGGACACAGGCTAAAATAGAACATGTGCACTCCTCCACTACTTATTGAGTTATACACTATTTGTATCCTCCATTTATGGTAATATCTGTTCACTGTTCAGCAACGTTTATAGAACACTTCTGTGGGCAATGTGGACAGACGGATGAATGTGCCAAATATATACGACATTTCTTTATTCTGATAAAATAATTTCTGTATCTCCTTCTACCTGTCCAAATTGGGTTCGTGTAACTCATATGAATCGTTTCGTGGAAAAGGAGCCTCCCTGCTGCCCATTATTACTGCAGGAGGATTATTGTAAATTTATGTTCCTCCATCATCCTTAAGGTGGTCACATTAGTAATTTAAGCTACACGGCCTGTTATGCACTAGTCCTTGCTGAGAAATTCCTAAATCGATCAAAAACATAGGGCACAATGCAAAAATCATTGTGTGCGGAAGAAAATTCTGCTTTGTATAGGAACTAGGAAGTGAAACGTATGTATTCACTTAATCGCTACGTCCTCTTTAGCAGGTGCGGGATCTTTTCTCATGAGACACCTGTGACACATCAAATATAGGAACGAATATCCCAATACAAGCGCCAAATGGAAAACCCTCGGGCAAAAATGAATGTGTCACAAGAACAGCACAGAAGCAGTGGGAATTAACAAAAATTCATTCCTCCTTGTAATCTGATCAGAAATGCACCCTAAGAGGATCTTTAACAGCATTGTTGAAGTTTGCACTCGGGGAGAGTTCTCACCACGAAATGCGGCACAATAGCTATAAAACATTTATTAATTTTGTTCCATGAACACTCACATAATAGTACAAATTGTTATTTTATTTTAAGGAATTCATTAGCAGTAAGAAGAATACATCCATATAAAAGACTCATTTAGAACGTAAAAGAAGTATCATAGCTCGGAATAGGATAACATAGGAATATGCACATTTCTGTACAAATCGAATGGGTGAAGTCATTACATGATGAAAGAAGGTGAGACATGTTTTAACAAAAAAAACACCCATGTATGCACTACACATATATTCATAGCACCATGCTGTTTATATGTATACTAATTTACTTATTCCTTTATAAGCCACCATAGGGGAGGAAATTTGAATAAGCATTGCCAACTGTCCATTATAGAAGCCGGATGTAAGAATATGCACTAGATACAAAAATCCTTCTATACGTATATATTACTGTACAGTATTAATTCATGTTTACTAAAAATTGCTCCACATAGGGAAGGATCGGAAGGAACCTGTTGGAGCTTGCAATGTTAGCGCAACTTAGAAAACATATATGGGTTATATAAAATACGTAAATATTAGAAGAAAATAAACTAATTTTATAAATTACAATTAAGAAGCAGATGTGGAATAAATGAATCAAAGTGCAGACAAATTACTATCCATAAAACGAAGACTTCCACGCGATGCCCTGTGAGTTCATAGAAATCACATCACACATGAAAACACCTATGGGACATAAGTCCCTTAAAATAACTTTGTCTTACGCATTTTGTATTCTCTTTCAACCATGAAACGTTTAAAACGTCTTCTGTATTTATCAATGAAATCCAGGTGGCCCCTATTATCCAGATACAGAAATATTTGGAAAAT